GGAGCCGGCACGGAGGGTCCAGGAGCCATGTCCGAGAGCGGCCCTGGCGCTCGCTCGCCCCGGCTTGGCCTGGCTTCCTCGGCCGTGAAAGTCGGCCACTGAATAAGGAAGGCCCAAGAAGCGGCCACGCGCTTGGTTGTGGTGCTGGAGAAGGAGGTTGAAAGAAACGTGGACTGCTCTAAGGACACACGCTCTGCCTTGAAATTTAAGGAAGGCCAGAGTGCCCCTGGGAGGCAAGGATGCGGAGACTTCTCGTGAACTTCGGACATGCTGTGGGGAGAGACCAGCCCCGGGAGAAGCCATCGTGCTTGGGCAAGTGGCGGGGCAGGGACAAGAGGAAGGCCCGCAGTGAGACGGGGTGACAGCACGGCAGCCACACTGGACTGGGGCTTGGGAACGATGGTGAGGATGGCGCCGGCCCGGGCTGCGTTTTGTTCTCCTGTGCGTCGATCGGGTTGCTGTGGGTCAGAACCGACCCGATGGCACCTAAAAACAGCAACAACCACCTGGTGAAAGAAATTACCATGGTCACTTCCTTTTAGGAAGGAAACGGGCATAGAGGGACAGGCCGTTAGCGTGGAATGTGAGGCTGGAGAATGGCCCCTGACGAAGCAATGAGCCTTCTAAATGCTCCAGGAAGGGGCGAGCCAGCCAGGGTGCCGGATAGCACACAGAAAAAGCACACAACATTACTCTGGTCCAGTGGTTCGCAACCTTCCTAATGCCGCGACCCTTTAATGCAGTTCCTCATGTTGTGGTGACCCCCCCCAACCATAAGATTATTTTCGTTGCTACTTCATCACTGTCATCTTGTTACTGTTATGAATCAGGTGACCCCTGTGACAGGGTCGTTCAACACCCCCCAAAGGGCTCACGACCCACAGGTTGAGAACCAATGCCTTAAAGTAATAGGGAAAAGGGAAGACGGGCCTCTTGAATGGAAGCTTTGCGATGTGTTTCTTAGAGAGTTTCTTAGAGAAAAGGCTTGCGGAGAGGAAAGCCCAGTGCAGCACATGGGTTATTCAACACCAGGTAGGGCAAGCCACAAGCCACACGCCCTATGGCTCCTGATGCAACCATGATACCGCGAAGTGTTGTGGCAAATTCCCAGAAACCAGTTTGGCTCTTCACGCAGCTAGTCCTACTTTACAACAACCACTCTGCAATGGTGGGGGTAGGTGGGCAGGTGAGGCAGCCATGCGCCTCGCTCTGAGACGCCCCACAGAAACGCGCCCGGCCGCCAGACGCCACAACTCTGGCTCCAGCCCCAGCTCACCCAGGCCAAGGGGAGGGATTTATCCCTCAGGGAAGGCTGACGGGAACATGAGGCCAAGAGGGCCAGGCTGGGACGGAGGCCCCACGGCTTCCAGAAACTCGACTTCCCAACGGCCAAAGTTCAGTCTCAAAGCTAATGCCATCAGACCCACCACCAGGAAGCGTGCAAAAGACCAAGCCATCAGGAAGGGTCCGGCTGGCCTGGTCCCGGGAACGCCCCCAGCAAGTCCCCTACCGTCCGGACTGGGCACCCAACACAGGCTGCGGTCACCAGAGCACGCGCATCTGGAACCGG